TGGGAGCTAAGTGAATGTCTTCTTCACGTATGTCCAAGCCTCGATAAAATTGCCTTATCTCTCGCGCTGTGGCTTCCCAGGGTAAACCTTTCATCTTAATTACAACTACCATATCGACGAATGAGGTTAATTCTCTATTTACCTGAAGTAAGATGGCAAATTGTGTACTTTAGCTGCAGTTCATACTAATAAATATACAGACACACAGCACACTTCGGTGGGCATTCATTTTTGCGTCAAGTTCCGCTTACCTTATCAGGGCCGGACCCCCCCTAAAATCATTTTTCTCGCGCTGACCGGAAATAGGACTGCACGCAACACATTTGTCCCCGATATTTTTTGGTCGATTTGTTGGAGATTTACCAACGGTAAAACCAGCACTTCATAAATACTTAGAATAAGATTATTTAACGACCTAGCTTTGCTATTTGTTCAATACAAATAATTTTGAAGTCGATCGCTACTTGCCAGGTGATTTGTCATGGGCTTCTGACATTCCCTATAGCAACCAGGCACGCCGGAAACACGAAGGGTTTGCAAAATTTAAACCGAAACTGATAATGAAAGGAGACAAATCCGGAAATGGGTATGCTTAAAGTTCAGTTACTGACGTCAGAGGTTCTTAATAAATATAGAACACCAGCTAGCTTGCATAGCAGGCTTTTTGGTATGTTTTTCCCTGATTCGTGTTCCGTCAGTTTCCTAAAGTAAGTAACCTGCGATCACGCGCTCTTTCTTCCCTTGTGAATTTAAAAAAACGTCTAATCGCTGGTCGTTAAGTAAGGGGCAAAACAAGAAAAACGATGGGGAAGAGTCCGAGAGAAACAAACGGCAAAGAGTTTCGTCTTCTTTCTATCCAGTACAAACATTAACCACAAAGGACTGCAAAGGACCGCAAACGAATATGCCGGAGAACGTAGGATCTATAAAGACCTGATCAGCAAAAATGAAAAGTAGACATATTAAATTCTGCAAGCAGAATACTTCACGTAGTACGATCAGCATTGCAGTATTCTGCTTGCAGAATTTAATATGTCTTCTTTCCATCCCCCCTCCCCCCTCCCCCATCGTTTCCTCTTTTGACCGCGGGAAGGATCAGCTTTCGCAACTTGCGCGTCTGTTTCCCTTTCTTTAAGAAACACAAACGAAAAACACACCACAAAAGGCCTACTAAGCAGGCTAGATACGAGCCTCTTCAATCTCGTCGCCTTCCCGCTGAGCATGCCCGTTCAAATTGATCAGTGAAAAGGTATTCACGGCAGTTGATTATAAGGGAGACAATATTACTTTACAAGACCTAATACGAGGGTGCCTATATGCCGGATCACTTTTTATTATTAATTAGCCTCTGTGTCTACGAGAGATATCATTTAAAAACAGCCAAACTGATATTCAACCCTGTTGTTATTATTGGATTCAATCAGTTGAGGTCGGAGTTTAAAAGATTGTGTACTTGAAATTAATGAGTGACTTACCCTCGCGATCAGAGAATGAAGGCTGACAGAGGAGCAGCCAGGCCTGTGAGAAACAATCACCGTTGGAGTGCGAGATCAAGAGAGCATCTTCTTGTCAAGAGCGTGGTCCAGTTTACTGAGGAAAGCGGAAAGATTCATACTTTTTTTGGATTTTGAATTCTAATTAAGTTTTTTTCTTTACGCTGGTGTCAATATTGCTGATTTTTGCAGGTGTTCCACAATATGAATTACAGTAGCGATAAGGTGTCATTTGTTAACCTGTAATGCACTAGTGAAAGCCCACTCGATGCCTTTCCTATAAGTCCTTCCATTGGAGGAGTTCTGCAACAAGCGGGCAATCAACTGACTCAAACTCAAATTCTGATTGATTTTGATTTTGATAAGGAAAAAATTTGCTTTGATCATGTGAATATCTTCTGTTAATAATTGTTCTGCTGGTACCGTTTTCATTTTTGCCGGCAACCCGGCTGAACAAAAATGAACTCATAAATGGATAATGCTTCTGTTTGGAGAGATCCCTTTACAAAACTTCTTGAGCGGGGCGAGATGAAGTTAGAGCTCGAAGCACCACGAATCGGATAGGCTCGATTACAAGCCAATGTTCAGGAAAATGAGCCCACACTTTGGAGCGACTTTGGAACGGCTTTGATTCAGACGCCAAACTTTTCATGTACTGAACCTAATGCATAAATTTTATAACGTAAGCATTTTGACCGAAATGAGCATTTTCCGCCTTTTGAACTTAGTTCAGCTGCAATTAAGATCGGCGTCTGAATCAGTTCAGTCGGTCTAAATAATTTGGGTCGGCCTTAATTCGAATTAGGGTCGGCTCATGTAAAGTTCGGCGTCTGAACCAGGCCTTACACTATTACTTGCGAATGAGTAGTCTAGCTACTGAATGATCGAGACCGTCACTCAGTGCTGATCGGTGAATGACTAATATAATTCAAACTTTTCATCGTGGCTCAACAATTTGCATTCATTACCCAACTTAAAATCAACTGAAAAAGACGGACTACGTTAACAACTCTTGGTCATTTTCCATGTAAAAGTTCTTTTATCCCTGTCCTTGGCAGAAAACGTCCCCAAAGCAGTTCATTAACTATTACAGTTTCGTGTTCTTGATTTCTTCTTTATGCCAATAAAATCACGAACTGACGAAGCCTCCCCCTTTTTTGTTCCTTGCGATCGTTCAAAAGAAATGTAAGTTATAGATTTGCAATGACTGCGGTGAATGAGGTTCAATGTCGTTTCATAAAAGAAAAGATTCGTCGGTGTAAAAGTCAATAAAAATTTATGAAACGTCATATAACTCACTAAACAACTGACCGCGAGTTTAAACTCTCATCAAAGTCGTCAGAGCTTACCTGACAGTATTTGTCCGTGTATAGCCAGTGTCCTATTTGGTTCTCTTCAAGCAACAGGAGCCAATGGATTGAACTCTTAAATTCATTTACATATCCAGTCAAAATCACCATGGCGCTAAACATCATTGGCTGGAATTCCATCTCCTATATAAGTTTTTTTTGTCCTGGAAAGTCGATTAGTGATAATAAACCATTATCAGCTCTTTGTGGAAAACTAAGTCCTAGGTTATGCGGTTAATTAAACTTTGTTTGTTTTGTTTTCGTGAATTTTCGCCGCGGTGAATCAACACTGTGACACTGACCGGGATGAAACAGTACATACGTACCAACTGATATCAACCCCTTCATTGCCCACCCAGCCCATAAAACCTGTCCACACCCTGCCGTGTCCACGTCTCCTTCTCTTTACGAAACAGCAGTTTAGGTTCTTTTTAGGTGTCAGTAAAACGCGGGGTTAGGGACAGGGCCGGGGCCGGGCCGAATTCGGGGTCTATCATACTGTTTAGGGTTAGGGTTAGGGTTAGGTTAGGATAAAGGTTAGGGTTAGCGTCAACCCTGATCCTAAAACAGCATTCTTTAAAAAAGGTAGACCCCGAACCCGACCTCGACTCACCGTTTTACTGACACCCGTTCTTTTTCGTCCCACAAGAGTCAAAACAGGAAAAGACCTCTGCTAACGGGGCCTGCGGTTTTTCGTCATTATATGAGAAGACAAAAATGTCTAAATGCACCGGGCGGCTGGCGCCGGGATTCAACAATTGATGCTTTGAACTCTGTTCCTTCCTGTAGATCCGGATAGTTTTTTTTGCCATCGTCAACAACTTTCCCCAGTAGCCAAAAGACAATTGGCCATTTCCAGGTTCCAAAAACACTCGCTTTCAAAACGAGGCTAAGTGCGAAACTTTTCTAGTGAAAATGAGTTTTATTTGCATCCCTTCTTTTTTGGCTCTCGTTCCANGCCATCGTCAATAACTTTTCCCAGTAGCCAAAAGACAATTGGCCATTTCCAGGTTCCAAAAACACTCGCTTTCAAAACGAGGCTAAGTGCGAAACTTTTCTAGTGAAAATGAGTTTTATTTGCATCCCTTCTTTTTTGGCTCTCGTTCCAATTTTCGCGCGGCCAAAATCGAAATTCCCTTTAACGGAAACGCTTGCTACGCAGACCTACGGTAGTCTGCTACACAGCCGTTATTAGTGTCGTCACGCAACGCTCCTCCCCAGTCTGCTACACAGCCGTTAATAGTGTCGTCACGCAACGCTCCTCCCCAGGGGAGGAGCGTTGCGTGACGACACTAATATAAACGGCTGTGTAGCAGACTAGATCTACGCGGGTTTTCATACCAATGGCTTCGCACTTAGCCTCGCTTTGAAACAGAGGCTTGAGGTGGAAAAAAAATGAGAAATGGTCTATTAAAGCCTTTCAACCGCTTTGGGAAGGCGTAATATAAAGTGAGAAGGAAATAATCAGGGAGGGGTGGGAGTAGGGAGGAAGGGGGGGGGGGGCTTTCCCTCCTCTCTCTTCTTTTCCGCTTTTCACCCAGTCTGTTCTCCATTTGCGCTGCTCTCCACTATCTGAATGCCTGGAATAGGCTGCAAGGAAATCACCAGACTTCAATACATTTGCAACGGAGTACAGTCAACTCCCTTTATAGCGGACACTGTAGGGACCTTAAGTTAGTGTCCTTTGTAGCGAGAGTCCGCAATAGCGGGAGTTTATTTCAGTCAAATGTCTGTAATTTATTTTTGCCCGGAATTTATCTGCTGTCCGTATTATCGGGGTGTCCGTTATAGCGGGATGTCCGCAAGGCGAGAGTTGACTGTAATCAGACGACCTTACCTACCGATCGAGCTTGAACCGCTCTGGAAACAATTTTTCTCGACCCTGAAATCGAGGTGGCAGGCCCCAGGCCCCTCCCCAGGTTTGAGTTATGGGCCCCGACAAATGGGGAACAAATTAATGATGTATATAAGAAAAATACAAATTTTCATAAGGAACAGTTTGTTTCTTCAATCCCGATTCTCCCACGTTTTTCGCGCAAGAATTACGCAAATAACGCGAGTTATCTCGCGCAACGCATCGGTGATCTCCTCCCCGACAGTAACTGCCGCAGTGTTACATGGGTCGGATGAGTCTGCAATATTAGTTGAAAGCAAGACCATGGCTGCAACGCGAAGTTTTTCATCTGAAGGAAATCTACAGCGGGAAGTTTGTTCCTTAATAGCTCAGAAATCATCAGAAGCTATCAAAGACCACGGATTCTTCGCAGTCGGCTTTTCGGGTGGTAGTCTTCCGAAAATTGTTTGCCCCGGACTGCTCTCTCTGCAGATTGACTTTTCAAAATGGCGGATATTCTTCTGTGACGAGCGGTATGTAGCACTAACAGACGCTGACAGCAATTATGTAGGAGTAAAGCAGCACTTGCTAGATAAGCTCTCTGTTGCTCCTGAACAAATACTAACTATTAATCATGATATTCCACTGGATGAAGCCGCCAAGGAGTACGAATCTCATCTCAAGGGGTGGTACCCTGGGGATGATGTCCCCACCCTAGATATGCTCCTGCTCGGAATGGGTCCTGATGGGCACACGTGTTCTTTATTTCCTGGCCATCCACTGCTTCAAGAAAATTCTCGTCTTGTGGCACCAATTTCTGATTCACCTAAACCGCCGCCATGCAGGATCACACTGACATATCCCATCATCAATGCCAGCAAATGTGCAGCATTTGTTAGTACTGGTTCTAGTAAGGCAAGTGTCTTACAACAGGTGTTGGAAGGTAACGCAGAGGAATCACTCCCAGCAGCAAGGGTTAGGCCCTCTAATGGAGAACTTCACTGGTTTCTTGATGATGCTGCAGCTAGTTTGTTAACGAAGAAATGAATGACTGACTTTCTTTCCACCGTGCATCTTGCCATTGTAAATACAGTTGAACCTCTTGCAAACGACTACCCAAAATGCTGAGATCTAGTGGTTGCCTTTAGGAAGTGGTTGCTCAGGAGACTTGATCCACAGGAGGTCTGAGATAATTAAGTTTTAAAGACATCTACATTTTGGACGAGAATTCATTGAATGTGATAATTATGTGATTAATATGTGTGTATAGTTTCATGTTGTCACCAAACATTCTTTGCATACTATGAGTAGTGTAGTACATAGAGATCAAACCATGCGTCAAGTGGTTTCTTACTAGAGGGTAAAAGCAATGGAAAATTTTAAAACCATTATCCAAAAAAGTGGTCGCAGTCCCCCTTGATAGGGGGTTGTTTACAAGAGGTTTCAACTGTAGTGATTTGACTGAGAAAATTTTGATGTGTTAGATAAGTGGTCATAGGAGGTGGCTGCTTAGGAGAGGTGGTCGCACATTGAGGTTCGACTGTAGGAGAATCTAGATCTTGATCCTGAGTAACTTAAGGCTTTCTCCAGGCATCCCTGTCCTATTTCAATTAACGGAAAACGCAGTGTCTTGTCTGCTTCTCAGCCTTCTATGCAGGTCTTTCAATCAAGGTTGAGAACTGCTTTCCAAAAGGGCTCAACGTGCTACCTGCAGGGGATATTAGCTGGTGATGTGTGTGCAGCATAGATACTTAAAACAAAATTTGTTTTAAGTATCTATGCTGCACACACATCACCAATTAATAATCTTAGGAGCATAATAATGATAATTATTCAAGTCCACAAGTGATATATAGTAGGGAGCTCAAGCAACCATTACAACGATGCTAGTAGTAAAAATGATCAATAGTAATGTCCCAGTAGTAATTTGAACAAGAGAAAGAAAATAATATTCATATACATACATATAACTTAAACTGGAGTCGAAATATAGGTTATATTTGTCTATATGTATAACACACCAGTATGCTCATTGGAAAATAAGCCATTACACCCCTAAAGGAAACCAACCTTGCAGTAACTGTACTGGATTTTGTTAACACACTATATGAGACAAAAAATCCGCAATTTACAGCCTTAAGTGAAATGAAGTGAATAGGGAACCTAACCAGCAACGTAATGGCTACCTTTTTCAATTCATGCTGCTTCAAACTTTAAGGTGTTTATTCCATCTTGTTTAATTCGTCAAATGTTGCCAATTTTATATGGAGTTGAATTATAAAACACTGTATCAAAGTTTAAGAAAAGAAAAACAAAGTCGTTGTCTTTTATTTGTGTTCTCCACAAAACATGAATTTAGGCATTTTCACAACGTAATCGCGCAGTCACAGCATAGAAATTTATAAAAAAGTGTGATGCATGTACAAAGTTGTAGTTTTGCCAATCTAAACCTATTGCTTTTTTGCTAATCTCATTGATATCACCGTCATCGTTGCTTAAGCTCCCTAGTAAAGGGGGGACTCATGCCATATTAAAATGTGAGTTTGTAGGCTTGATGGCCTTTTTATTGCAATTGTATCTAATCCATAAATGTTGTGGTTAAGCTCGTGTGTTAAGCTTTATTAAGGATAACTAGAACATTTATATTTCTATTTGTATATATTTTTCTTGTATGTTAATTAGTGGGGGCATCCCTAGTATGGGGCATTGGTGCTTTTGGTTGTCTCCTTCTCCACAACTTTTTTTTTTTGTTTGTTTGTTTGTTTGTTAAAGTAGTGTTAGCTTATTTCATTTCATTATTTGCTTGTTATGCAGTGTAGTGAATCTGTAATAAATAAATGAATAAATGATTGTGAGAAAGGTTCCAGACTAAGTTTCTATACATGGACCTATTGAATGTACTGATATAATTTTAATGCTTTTTTTTATGCATAGTTATTTGCTAAAGTAAAAAACTTGTTACAATGGGTGATGCTGCTGCCAATGCTAAGTCAGAAATTGGAAATGTTTTGGAAATGTTTTGCCCTGACATCTTTATTTATTTTTTAGCTTTGAAGACTGTAAAGTGAAACCTTGATTTAATAAACCCCTACATCCTCTGTATAACATGTAACATTCTTTACCCCAGTAATGATAACATGTACGGAAAAGAACCTCACTGTTTTTTGACCATACCTTGACCCTTTGCTATATCGACAGAGTTAAACCCCAAGTTTGGTTTTAATCAGGGTGATATTAAACAAGATAGAGCCATTCAAGAACTTGAGAATTTACAAAGTAATTTACTTGGTGAGATGTCCCTATTAATAAATTATGTCTGGAGTTGTTGAAAGGCTGTATCTTGTACAATATAGGCCTGATTAACACAATGCTTGGGGATTTTGCTCTTTTCTGACTAAGTAGGTCTTGAGATGATACTTCCATAATGCATACCCTCGTACCCAGTCCCCCATGATATGAAAGCCAGCAAATATGGATGCAATCAATAGCAAATCCAAACCAACAGCCTGTAAATCCATATTCTTTTATTAGAGTGCAGATGTCACCTCTTTATAGTTGAATAACATCAATGGACTACAAGATCTTATCATAACATTTGAACAGTGACACAAATATAAGTAATAGAAGGGTCTAATCAAATCGACAGTGGTTCAATTCAATTTTAACCTTGGTTAACTTGCATTTTATTTGCTTTAAACTCATTATCATACATCCCAAAAGAAAAGGAAAATGGATAGGCAGGGTTGTCACTAAGATTTCAAGTTGTTGGGTAAATAAAACAAGTAGGTGAGGAATCATGCAAACGGCTAGGGGTTTCTTTTGGTTCTATTTTTCTTCTATTTTCCTTTGAAAGTAGCCAAGGGCCAGGTTCATAGTACCCCAGCCCCCACCACTTAATGACAGCCCTGGATAGGTGTACTGAAAGTTTATTTTCTAATGGCTAAAACAAAAACAAATTCCAAAGATTGTAAATTTGAAGAATGAAATGATTTAAAACGGAGTGCCAATGAATTATGTCTCTATAGCCTCCAGTAAAAGAACCCTCTTGTCGAGTGGATGCCATGAAAGGGGCTTAGTGAGTTAATTTGTTAAGTTTACATCAATAATTGTCTCTTACATTTCAGCCCTGTAAGAGAAATTCAGTCTTGCAACTAAACCTTACCAACTACGTTTCTAGTTTATTATGATTCCCTAACTTCCATGTGCCAGGTTGGTCACAACACAATGAACAAATAATTTCTTTAATAATTATTATGTTTCTTGTCTAACCAGTGATGGCTATAAAATGTAAACCTATTGGCAAGTGAGAGAGAGTCCTTGAAATAGCAAACCATAAAATTATAATATATCATAAACAAAAACATGGCTCCACCCCGGGCTGCTCAAGCTGCCTGAAAAGCCATTTTATTTTATCTGTTCACACTCAAGCATAACTAAATAGGTACATGTATTGATGAGGTCAACTTCAAGCTATGAACTGGCCATTCTTTTGTTACAGATCTCGGTCAAAATAGTTCTTAGCATTAAAGTTGAAAAAAACATCTTGCTCAATAACTACAGTGACAGTTGCTAGTAAAGTCTGTAAGTAGTGAGTTTGCTAGTCTATTTAAAAAATAACAATCTGTGAGTTCCTAAATGACAAATTTCTCGGAGGCTAACACTTGTTTGATTTGCTTTGAGTTAGTTAATTTTGTTACTACACATATTAGAGTACTCATGAGGATGTCAGTCTTCCAACAAATGATCTAAGATGCCCAAGCTTCAAGTTCTCTCAAGTCATCATCTTCTGCTTTGGCCTTAGCTTTGGCTAGAAATAGAAGAAACAGATATGAAAAACTTGGTACACATGAACCTTAAGAGCTTGATACACTTTTTAGACTCTTATTACATTAGTTTAACTCTAACCCAGAAGAGTGACCTGCATCTAGTTTTTCACTGAAAAAACACTACTTGAGTAAAGATCACGAGAACAACCTTAATGATCTCAGCTGGGTTGTTCAAAGCTGGGTTAAGATAACCCAAGTAAGTGTGAAATTTAAATTCAGAAACGAGAGCTTTCAACGCAAATTCAGTTTTATTATTTTTCCCCACAACTTGATGATTTTATGATCTGAAAAATGGGAAAATTATTTAGGAAAAATGCTTTTGGACAAAAGAAAAAGAAACCCAGATTAAAATTCAACCCGGGGTTAGCATTAATTGGCCTTCAAACAACTGAGGCCTGTACTTTAAAATGGTCTTGATTGTGAACAATAGGAAATATACCATAGGAGACATATGATTCAAGAGTAATGGGGAGAATATACATCAGGATATTTAACAATTATTTCTCGAGCCTGAATGGGCTCTGAGTCAATAGCCCATAAAGCCAACATGTGAATGGGCTATTGACTCTGAGGCCATGAGGGTGAGAGGAATAATATTGTTTTAGTAAAATCCAACTAGTTGGTCAAAAATAAATTTAAAAAATAAAAAAATAATTTCAAGTCTCGGAAAAATAAAATGCCATTTCCAGGGGTTTTCAAGAGGTATTTTCCACCATGGACGCCATGTTACTTCATCAGAATAAATGCAAGACTGGGCACAATGCTGTCTAAATGTCCCAGGCATTCCACGACATTGCACGGTTCGAAAGTTTCACAGAGCTAAACTTGTTTAGATATGTGTTCAATGTCATTCAAAACTGGGAAACGGATGCTTTACAAATTTTACTAGGTGGTGCATATCTTTTGTTTGCAGTTATGGTAGAAGGAGACAAAAGTAGCCAGCAAAGGATGACTAACTAGCCAGCAGTTTTGGCTAGCTACCGGCCCTTATTGATAGCCCTGTGGCTGGAAGGTGAATAAGGGCTCATGACATAAAGGACTTTATACTACCAATAAAAGTAAATACAACTTGTATAAAATGACAAGCATGAGAACATCACTGTGTTTCCAGCACACAGTTGGAATGTAAAATAAATATTTGATCTTTACACAATGTGTTTCCAGAAAATACCCATATTCCTCCTATGGAGGAGGAATTTCTGAGGGGGAGGAGGATCATAAAACCCAAATTTTAAAATTTACAAAAGTCTGAAGATAAACTGTAATTTGCAGGAAGTGGGGAGGATGGATAGAGTTCAAACCAAAAACCTTCAAAATCCATATAGAATGGATCTTTTCTAAAACAACACCATTATATTATTATAGTAAATAATAAATCATTGTGAATAATTTACAATGGCAAATAAGCCTAAACATAAAACAGGACCGAACATGAAATCAGTTGGACCTGAATGGAAACTAACCTGGTTGAGCTGGTAGTTCTGTGGAAGGAACATTTGGCAGACTAGCTGTTCCGCCAACTTCTAGCAGTTGTTCATCCAGTCCCTCTTGTTCCAACTCTTCAAGCTCATTCATAAGCTCATCCTAAATTTGATGGAGCATTAGAAGTTTGTCACATGAGACGTAAACAAAGATGAATGCTTTACTTGGCAAACAAATAAACAGCACCAGTATCTTCGTTCTGGGCCCCCAGCAGACTCAACAAATTACCACAAATACATTTTGAATTTCTATTCACCCTGATTAGCAAATTGACAATGGCTTTTAAACAGGCCAATCATTGTGCATTCTCAAATCCTGGTACACAGGTGGGCGCCCAGAACAGTGGCGGATTCCAGACCTTCAGATAAGGAGGGGGCCCGATCATCCAGTTCCTGAGATGGGAGGGGGGGCGGTCTCGGCTGGGGCCAGAAGCAAGGGGGTCCCTGACCCCCTGACCCCCCCCCCTGGATCCGCCACTGCAGATTAAGGTTTTTGGCACTGTTTTGTGGACAGACTTAACAAGAGTTTAGTTCCACCTGTGTTGCAGGCTATTTTCTAGTGGCCTACATTCCATACAAAAATTTACCCCAGTAATTAAGTAGCACACAAACCCTTGTCATACATCTGTAAACCCCAACAAAGAATCAGATTTGAGTAGTTGATTTGTTAGCAGTCGTCTACTATAGTTTATGATCAGTTCTGATTAGGTAAGAAAATCTCTTGTGTATTAAAAAAAAGGAAAGCATCAATGTTGTAACAAATTCATTATGAAAAGTAGCAATAACATTCTGAATACTCACTTCATCGACATCCATTCCAAAGCCAGCTGGTTCTGATATAGCCCTAGAGATTTCATCGGCAAGCTCTGTCTGTTCCTGAATGTCGTCCATCATTTCATGGACATCATCAACATCACTGTAGGGGGTGAAAAAAAAAATGAATGTAATACGAAATGGAAAGTTGCTCATTCATGAGCATACTCATGTACAACCATTATATTCACAAACTGTAAAATAAAAATAATAAGAAAAAGAAGAAGAAGAATACATGTACTGATAACAAAAAGAATAATAATAATAAACAGTACAGGTGAGATTTTGGTCTACAAGTTGCATAAGCAATGGAAAATCAGTGATTTCCTTTCTGCTATTCAAGTTGCATGGCACTTTTATGCAGGCCACACTACAACTTCAACTGCCATACAGAAAAACAGTTCATTAGGCTGTGACCTATACATATTTAAGAGGAAAGATTCACCAATGCTGGCTACATAGCTTAACTGCCTTTGTCTGACATATTGGTTTCTCACCATAGACTTAGGAGTGCTGTTACCATTTAAGTCAGAAGGTAAAAGATCAGTCCATGGATGACATGATACATATCACAATATTATCAGCAAATTATGACAATCACAAGGCCACATATTAGGGAAAACAAACCAGGTGAGAGAAGCATGCCTGAAGTACTGTTTACTGGTGTATGTACTGGTGCAGTGTTTATGTGTTGGGTAGAGGACATCTCAGGAGCTGGCTGTTGCACACGCTTTATCAATTATGCTGTGCAAGTGACTAGAAAATATCTTAGGTTCTCGACAAAATGGTACTTTTGGCACCAAAGTGCCATACCTTGTAGTTTGGTGCCACAAGTTTTAAGAACAAGGAATACAGGTTTCTACTTTTATTAACACATGGAAAATGACGCACAAAGCAGACAAAGTGACAGGGTATTAATTTCAGCATACATGTAATTACAGAAAGCAAAGACATTTTTCTAACTACAAGGTTCGTACTCTTTTAAACTTTTCAAATTCCATGACTTTTTATGACTTTTTTCATGACCTTTTCAAGTTTTCCATGACCTTAAGTTTAACTTTATAACCTCTTCTTTCCACTGGTTAAGGCTAAAAAACAAGCTCTTCGTAAGCCTTGGTTTACAAAGGGCCTTTCAAAATCGATTAGAAAAAAAATCTGTCGTACAAAAGCTTTCTTAACGACCCCTATTCTCATAATGAGTTAGATGACACTAACATATTCTTTTCTCAAAAAAATGTTGACTTTCTTGAAAAGACCTTGAATGAGGAGCTCTTGAAACTGACAAATTGGTACCAGGCTAATAAGTTATCAATAATTATTCAAAGTCAAAATTTATGGTTTTCAAATCCAGGCAGAAAAGGCAAAACCTTGATATTAAACTAGAAATATTAAAGTAATTGCGCCATTGAGCGAGTAAGGGATTCTATATTGTAGGGTGTGACCCTTGATGAAAATCTTACATGGAAACTTCAGTATGATTTTGCCGCTTATTTATTCTTTATATTTAATGTTAGGTTAGGGAGGGAGCTCATTCAATAAGCCCCAAGGTTCCATTTGAGCTTCCTTGCCAGAAAAATACTTTTAATTCTTTTACTTATAATTTACGTCCAATTAATCTTTCAATAACATTTTTGTAATATATTGAACGTTTGTATGTATATGTGTTTTTTTTTTCTGGCAAATAAATAAACTGAAACTGAAACTTTCACTTTCAAATATTTTCGAATCTTTACTTGTTTCAGGGTAGCTTTTGACCTAACTCAGTTCAACAGACACAAACTGTTGTGTATACCAAAATGTGTGCCATTTAATTATTTGTCTTTATCGTACATCATCCTAGCTTTGACATCTGCAGTAATACTAATCTATCAAGCATAACCTTAATAATAAAAATATTTCCCATAGCTTTCCAGGACTGTCAATTATATTCTATGACTTTCCAGGCCTGAAAAATGAAACTCTTAAATTTCATAACTTTCAAGGTTTTGCATGACCTGTATGAACCCCGTAACTATACTTATACTTTGACCTGGTAGACAGACCACTGAGGTGACTGAACAATCCACAAGCCTCATTCTTAAAATCTCGATTTCAGCTGACTGGAAAACTATAAACTCTGGCTAAATGACCAAACATTTCTGTCAAGCATCGAATAAGAAGAGGTCTGACCATCTAACCNTATATGTGTTTTTTTTTTCTGGCAAATAAATAAACTGAAACTGAAACTTTCACTTTCAAATATTTTCAAATCTTTACTTGTTTCAGGGTAGCTTTTGACCTAACTCAGTTCAACAGACACAAACTGTTGTGTATACCAAAATGTGTGCCATTTAATTATTTGTCTTTATCGTACATCATCCTAGCTTTGACATCTGCAGTAATACTAATCTATCAAGCATAACCTTAATAATAAAAATATTTCCCATAGCTTTCCAGGACTGTCAATTATATTCTATGACTTTCCAGGCCTGAAAAATGAAACTCTTAAATTTCATAACTTTCAAGGTTTTGCATGACCTGTAAGAACCCCGTAACTATACTTATACTTTGACCTGGTAGACAGACCACTGAGGTGACTGAACAATCCACAAGCCTCATTCTTAAAATCTCGATTTCAGCTGACTGGAAAACTATAAACTCTGGCTAAATGACCAAACATTTCTGTCCAGCATCGCATAAGAAGAGGTCTGACCATCTAACCATTTCAATCAAATCTGCCGCTAAATTGCCATGTTTAACCTAGTCCACATTTTCATCCCACACCTGTGGTGTGATTAAAATTTTTGATCATTTAGCAACATCTACAAAAAAAAAGCAAGCCCAAACAGGAACAAGGGGCCAATATCAAACACTAAATAGATGCCACACTTTCAGAAGTTAATACCTACAAAGCCTTTTTTGGTACACTTTCTGCAATGGGTGGTCTTATACTGTTTGCTTGTTCAAGCAATGTACATTAGCGTACGTAGCCTAAGAGCAAGCTCTCCCAGGGCAATCTGGTGGTGAGGCAAAAAAGGAGAGAAAGCTAGCAATCATGTCTCTGGAATTTGAATTCCACCTCCAGTGCCCCTGTGGCTCCCCGTCAACGAACAGAGCTGTCAGTTTTGACCAATCAATGTGGAGCAGAAATGAGTGTTGATTGTAAACAAACATAAAAACAGTGCACAAAAGATGAATTTCCCACGACTGAACGAAGCCCTGAAAGTATGGCCCCAGCAAAAAAGATCAACAGAGAACGTTCAAAAAGTGGCAAACCACCACTAATGCCTGCTTCAGGCGTCAGCACTGAGACAAGATATTTTGCAAGCTTTGTGATGTACATTGAACTCAGAGTAAAATTGTTCCTGCAAAAGTATTTAGAAACAAAGATGTCCAGAAAAACTAAATAAATTGTCTCTCTCCTGCTATAAACAGATTACAAATTGACAGGAATACACCGAACTGAATTTGTTTGTTTCATAATATGCTGAAATTATACATATTTTCCCCCCACTACAATACAAATTCTACCACAAGTCCTTTTCTATCCACTGCAAAGAAGCTACAGCAACTAGCAAATAACCCACCTATAGTCTAATTTTAAAAGCATTAAATCTCTGAAAGAGAACTTCTCGTTTACGTTAGAACAATATTTAAAAGGTTTTCAAAAGTTTCACACTGATGAAGTTGTCTGGCCATTTAGCATGCGAGCAAGCTCTCCCAAGAGAACATAACGTCATCACCTGATTAAAAATCAGCCAATCAGCAGTTCGCATCCCATTTTGGGACACAGATATTCAAATTTATAAGACGGAAGTGCAAGCTCTCCTTCCCCTCTTCCCTCCCCCACCCCTGTACTCCTGGAAACCACAGGAGAGCTTCCTTGCAGGCTATACTGTGTGATAAATATGAAGATGGATGAAAATACGTGATTGTTTAGCTCGCACTCCAAATTAACTAAGTAAAATATGTCTCTTTCACATTATTAAAACTGTGGCCAACTGGCATGTGGTTGAGCCATCACGTCAGTAAACAATGTATCTTTTAAAGCTAATTAAATCAACAGTGTGTTTGTAATTTACATGTACGCTGTTACTGCATCAAGTGCAAAATTGGCAACTCGCCTCCCAAGAATTGTGCATGATCTAACTGACTGTACAGTTTCAAACTTAACTGCCAGCCTAGATAGTTGGTACAGTTTAAATGTATGCTAATAGATTTTTTTAAAATATACTCACAGCTGTTGATGAGCTGACTTCAGCGCCTTTGCAGCATATGACATATTCTTAAGGACTTCAGTGTTAGTATTCGCATTCTCCAAAGCCTCTCTTTGAAATTCGATAGTAGATAAGGTTCCATCGATTTGCTGCAGTTGTTTTTCAAGTCTTTTTTTCCTCTTTAAAGCCATTAAGGCAGCTGAAAATAACATTTAAGTAACATTTAAGATTTAGCATGTCAAAGAACATTACCACACGGTAAATATATTGATTACTACTGAGATCCATTTTGATTCCTACAATGGTTCGACACTGATTGCTGGTGTAAGAATTTAAACCTGTATAACTGGGAGAAAAGCCTAACCTCTCTTATTTTTTGAAGCATTCTTCCTTGCCGTTGCTACTTCTTGATCGATCTTCTTTTCTAAAAATTCACTTTTCTTCGTTAACATTTCTTCAGTGGACCGCAACTTTTGAATCGCTTCCTGCGTTGTTGGCGGTTGTTCCTTGTTTTTTCCACCAAATATCTTCCACATTTTGAACAGCTTATTGCTTTAGTTTCCTAAAAAGAGAAGAAACTTTGTACAAAACAGCAATAAAACTACGAAACGTTCTCCGAAATTGCAGGAAATTTCGGACAAATCCAACCAGGTAAGATCTTTATTTAGGTATGTGACGTCACGACACTTTGTAACCAGGCAAGATGCTAAGCGAAGAGTGAAGAGGCATGGGTAGGATGATGCAAACCGCTCTTCCTACCCTCCCTGCGCTAGTCTGAAATGCCAGTTGTCTCCTCAAGAGGGGTGGGGGGGGGGGGGGTTTGGGGTGCGACTGACCTTTTCGGCTATCCCCTTGGCTTTCCCTCTCCCGCTCAAAACAGGTGGCAAATTTATTTAGCCCTGCTTGGGAGGCATTGCATAATTTCCTTGTTACCAGGCCCCCCTTTTTATTCCTGTTTTCATAAAAAAGGGGCTTTTGGGGTTTTTTTTTTTTACGGCCCTACAGCCAAGTGGGGCTCTGGTTC